TCAGGACTTGAACCAGTGCCCATATGGGAGGCCGGCACCGTGGCTCAATAGGCTAATCCTCCGTCTTGCGGCGCTGGCATACCGGGTTCTAGTCGCGGTCGGGGCGCCGGATTCTGTCCCGGTTGCCCCTCTTCCAGGCCAGCTCTCTGCTGTGTCCCGGGAGTGCAGTGGAGGATGGCCCAAGTGCTTGGGTCCTGCACCCCATGGGAGACCAGAAGTACCTGGCTCCTGCCATCAGATCAGCGCGGTGCGCCGGCTGCAGCGTGCCGGCCGCGGCGGCCATTGGAGGGTGAACCAACGGCAAAGGAAGACCTTTCTCTCTCTCTCTGTGCACTCTGCCTGTCGGATCAAACGAGATAAAAACAACTGAAACTGGGAAGGTGCCCATATGGGATGCTGGCACTACAGGCAGTGGCTTTACCTGCTATGCCACAGTGCTGGCCCCAATAATAAGCGTCTTAAACAACTATCGCAAATAAAGTGTCCAGTTTGGTTTTTGAAATGGGAAAGTCACACATTTTTTAAGTAAATATACTATTTTTGTGAAATCGGGGATAATTTGAACCTAACGAACCATGCAGGAGCAAGGGTTAATAAACCAGTCAGTGTGCTTTGAATTTGTTCAAGTGCTGGTATTTCTATAATATAGCAGATGTTATGAGAAGTAAAAGATTTTCCCCCCAAAATGAAAATATTGAAACTAAAATATATAGTATTTAGTATTCCACAGAGCAGAAAATTCGACAAATCAAAGTTTATATGTCCCAGTTGACCATGTTTGAAAATGCAACGCAGGTATTGAAACCAATATTACGTCCAATATTTAAAACTAGTTTGTCATTCGGGAAACATCTAAATCCTTAATTAAAAAACTCAAATGAAGTGAAAGCTTTAAATTGGTATATACTGTTCACACTCATATTTCATGTTTGGAAATGCATATTTGCAAGCAGCAATACAAAAATATTCGTGAAAAATGCATTGTATCTGAGAATTTTGAAGATATACTTGCTACCAATACATTTCTAAATACAAAACTGACTGCCATATTTGTTACTTCTGTGGGGAGAGTGAATTTTTTAAAGATTTTATTTTTACTTGAAAGGCGGAGAGGGGGAGAGAGAGAGGTCTTCATCTGCTGGTTCACTCCCCAGATGGCTGCCATGGCCAGAGCTGAGCCAATCCAAAGCCAGCAGCCAGGAGCTTCTTCCGGGTTTCCCATGCAGGTGTAGGGGCCCAAGGACTTAGACCATCTTTTTTCCCAGGCCACAGCAGAGAGCAGGATTGGTAGTGGAGCAGCCAGGAATTGAACTGGCGCCCTTATGGGGTGCCGGCACTGCAGGCAGCAGCTTTACCTGCAACACCACAGCGCCGCCGGCCCTGAGAATTTGTTTCCTTTTTTTTTTTGACAGGCAGAGTGGACAGAGAGACAGAGAGAAAGGTCTTCTTTTGCCGTTGGTTCACCCTCCAATGGCCACCGCGGCCGGTGCACCGCGCTGATCCGATGGCAGGAGCCAGGTGCTTCTCCTGGTCTCCCATGGGGTGCAGGGCCCAAGGACTTGGGCCACCCTCCACTGCACTCCCTGGCCACATCAGAGAGCTGGCCTGGAAGAGGGGCAACCGGGACAGAATCTGGCTCCCCGACAGGGACCAGAACCCAGTGTGCTGGCGCCGCAGGCAGAGGATTAGCCTAGTGAGCCGCGGCACCAGCCCTGATTCAGTCTTATTACTTGATATGGGTCTGTTCAAGTTTTCTGTCTTCATGGTTCAATTTTGGCAAGTTTTACCATGTGTAGAAATGTATCCATTTATTCTAGGTTTTCCAGTTTCTTGGCATATAGGTGTGCAAAAAAGTCCCTAATGATCCAGTGTATTTCTGTGGCATCTGCTGTAATAATCTTTCTTTTAATCTCTGATATTATTTTTTTTAAAGATTTATTTGAAAGACTGAGTTACAGAGAGGCAGAGGCAAGAGAAAGAAAAGAAAGAGTCTTCCATTCACTGGTTCACTCCCCAAATGGCTGCAATGGTGGGAGCTGGGCTGATCCGAAGCCAGGAGCCAAGAGCTTCTTCCAGGTCTCCGACGTGGGTGCAGGGACCCAAGGACTTGGACCACCTTCTACTGCTTTCCCAGGCCACAGCAGAGAGCTGGATCAGAAGTAGAGCCCATATGGGATGCCGGCACTACAGGCAGCAGCTTTACCCACTATGCCACAGTGCTGGCCCCTCATCTCTGATTTTATTGAGTCATTTTTTCCTGGGTAGCTAAAAAGTCGTGGACTTTTGTCTTAAAAAACCTGTTCTTGGGGCCAGTGCTGTGGTGTAGTAAAGTTAGTCCTCTGCCTGTGGCGCTGGCATCCCGTTGGGCATGAAGGCTTGCTTGGTTGAGCAGTGTTTTTGGCTGGTAGTTTTCTCTTTCAGAGCTTAGAATACACGGTGACATTACCCAGCATTCCTTTCTGGGCTGTGAGGTTTTTTTTTTTTTTCCCCCCCTATTTAAGATTTTATTTATTTCTTTGAGAGGTAGAGTTACAGAGGAGAGACAGGTCTTCTATCTGCTGGTTTGCTCCCCAAATGGCCACAACGGCTGGAGCTGGGCTGTTCTGAAGCCAGGAGCTTCTTCCAGGTCTCCCATGTGGGTGAAGGGGCCCAAGCACTTGGGCCATCTTCCATTGCTTTCCTGGACCATAGCAGAGAGCTGGATCAGAAGTGGAGCAGTTGGGACATGAACTGGTGCCCATATAGGGTGCCAGCGCCATAGGCAGAGGCATAGCCACTATGCCATAGTGCTGGTCCTGGCCTATGAGTTTCTGCTGAAAAGCCCGTTATTGGGATGCAAGTTGCCTTAAGTAAGTAAGACTTGTTGCTTTTCTCTTGTAGATATTAGAATTTTCCTTGTGCTGTACTTTTGAGAGGTTAACTATAATGTATCATGGTTTAGAATTTTTTTGGTCCTGTTTACTTGGAGTCCTATGGACCTCTTCTACTTGGATGTCTTTATTTCTAGACTGGGAAAGTTTTCAGATAGTATTTCTGTGAATAGATTTTCAGTGCTTTTAGCACTTTTTTCTCCTTTGGAGATACCCACATTCAAATATTTATTCAACTAATGGTCTCCCAAAGGTCTCAGAGGTTGTCTCCCTATGGTCTTCAAGTTCAGACATAGTTTTTGCTTCTGCTTTATCTAGTCTGTTGTTGAGGCTTTCATTTCTGTGTGTTTTAAGATTTATATATTTAAAGGTCTGTATTAGATCTCCTGTATGTTTGTTCACTCCCTAAATGGCCACAAGAAAGCCAGGAGCTTCTGGGTCTCCCACTTAGGTGTAGGGGCCGAAGCACTTGGGCCATCTTCTGCTTTTCCAGGCACATTAGTGGGGAGCTGGATTGGAAGTGGAGCAGCTAAAACCTGAACTGGCACTGTGGGATGTTACAGCTGCAGACAGTCGCTTTACCTGCTGTGCCACAGCGCCAGCCCCTCATCTGTTTCCTGTTTGCCTTCTTCAGGTTCTTCATTGCCGAGGTTTCTATTTGGTTCAAGATCGCTCTCCTTCTTTGCTGAATTTCTCATTGATCTCAATTGTTTTTTTTTTTTTTTAATTCCATAAACCACAGAAAGGTTTATTCTCTCATATCTTCCTGAGCATCCTTGTAATTATTCTTTTGATCTCTTCATCAGGCATCTCATAATTCTCCTTTTCTTTGAAGGTGGTTAATAAAGTATTATTATGTTCTTTTAGGGGTGTCATTTTCTTTTTCATGGTAAAAGGCTTTTTTTCTGAAGATGTGCCTTTAGCTATCAGTTTGAGGCTGTTTTGGCTTTAGTTCCAACTGGAGTGATGTTCAGTTCCAGCAGGGCTGTCTTGGTGTTGGCCTGGAGCTGCAGTTACTGAGGTGCAGGCCTGGGACACTAGGGGCATTGCCTGGGTCCTTGCAGTGGCATGGACAAGTGGATTCCCATGGCAGCAGCGGCCATTGGAGGGTGAACCAACGGCAAAGGAAGACCTTTCTCTCTGTCTCTCTCTCTCACTGTCCACTCTGCCTGTCAAAAAAAAAAAAAGTAGATTGTTTCCCCACAAAGATGAATTAGAGCCAATCTCAGCCATTCTCTTGTTCTGCAACACCCCCACCATGGCAGTCTTATTTTTATTTGTTTACTTATTTTAATTTGAAAGAGCCCAGGCACATTAGCAGAGAGCTGGATTAGCAGACTAGCTGCCGAGACTGGAACCGGCATCAGGTGGAAGCCCAGCCCATGACCCCATGCTGGCCCCAAGGCGGCTGTCTCGATCAGCTCCGACATACGTGCTGCTCAGCTTGCCTTCAAAACATGTTCCTGTCATTCCTGTCTTCATTTCAGTTCTAAGCTGGAAGCTGATTACTTCTAGAAGTTTTTAGGCTAATACAACATTTTGATGTGTTCAAATCTAATTCATCATTATTTCCCTGCAGGTGAGTTTGTTGTGTGTGGTGCCTGTCATCTGTCTTGTCTTGGAATCATGGCAAAGGAACTCTTATCCCAGGACAGCTTCTGACAGGTTAGTGCACACGAATGACCGGTGAGGTAACACAACTAGCAATGATGAAAAGCCCACCATCTGCACGACTGCAGAACCAGGGAATGTTCAGGATATTCTCAGCCTGTTAATCCTTCAGAAAGGAAAACCAGTAGCTGTCAGTTTTATGGTGTGGTCTGAGGTGGGGGACAGCAGGGACTGCCACAGCCCAGTGAGTTCAGGTGATACTCAGAGGCAGCTGGCAGGTAACCAGGTTCCCCCGGAGTGTCCAATGTTAAACATTAGAGAAAGGATAGGTGCAAAATAAATTGCAATCGAGCTGTTCCTCTATTAAATGAGTGCATAAATCCAAAATCATTTCCTCTCATGTTATGAGGTAGAGTTTACTGTTACCAGCATTATCTTACCCAGAGTAGCAATGAGCTGTTGTCTTTCGATAACTGGACACTTGGGGAAACTAGTGATATAAAAGTTAAAGACAAAGGAAACCTTTTGATTATTTTATTTTAATCTTCAAAATTTTCTGCCATGACACAGGAATGCATGATAGAAATGGCTCAACATCTTCACATGAAACACTTGGATTCATTTTCATTCACAAGTTTTTCTAAGAACCACTAAAATTTCATAGTCCCACCCACTTCCAACCATTATCACAGATTTAACTGACAATTAAACAGTAGTTACCAGCATTCGATAGCTGGAATGCTTTCTACGTATTAGTAGTGTCTTTTGAAACTACCACCCAAGAGTATCATGATTATGTATCTGATTGTCCATGGCAACCCAAAGGAGACTGATGTCCCAAAACAAACTCCCTGCTGACTGGGGAGAGCTGTATTCCCCAGCTACTTAAACAGATGCTCTTTCTTTGTATTTTCCTTGCAGGGAACAGCACGTGCTGACCTTGACTTTATCCTCACTGCTAATAGGTGGATATATGCCTGATATTTATTGTTTGGTGCTCTCTGTTAACTATGTACAGAACATACCGACAAAAACTGGGTTGCTTGGAAGCTGTATCTCTTTTGAAGAGAACTAGTTTGAGGTTTCTTTTTTGAACAGTTGTAAACAAAAGAAAAGAGATATACACAGACATATACCTAAACATATAAAGAGATTGACACTGAGTATTTTCAATGTGGTGCATATCTTCTTACTGAGATACACACAAACACAGGAAGTGTCTTCACTCGCCCCTTCACACATACCTACACCCTTCCACATAGCGTGTGAATATAAATGCTGTAAGTGTCCTTGGGAGTTCACTGGAGTTTTCATATTACCAAACGATGGTGAAATACCTGATATGTGTTACTCCTGAGAAGAAACTAGAAGGGAATGACAGTTCTGATGCACTTTGGAATGGCACAATCACGTAAACACTTGCATACTTAAGACTTCTGAATTCATCCAAAGTTTCTAAACATGATCCAACCAAAAAACAAAGTTATTAAAACAATGCAGCAAGTTTAAAAATAAAACAAAAAATTTTTGTAACCAGTATATAAACAAATATATAGGAAATGCATATTTGTCAGTAATTATTTTTAAAGTACGAAACAAGTACTTAGACATGGTTTTCTGGCAAAACATTAAAGAAAAAAAAAAACCCAACCTTGCAACACATAACACATGCATTGCTCAAAATAGCAGAAGATAGTCACATGACACTTGCCAAGGCTTACAAGCAACTGCACCAGAAGGAAATGACTATATAGCAAGTCTGTTAAGAATGCAATTTATAAAAATTACTGTGACTGTTATTCACACTTCTGTAAAAAAATTTGCAATTTGCTGAATATCTTACCCTTTAGTATAATTTGTATAAAAATTACAACTAAACAAATTTCAAGCACCAATTCAATCATTTAACTTCCTATATTTATATTTCTCCTATTATTAAGGGAACAAATTATGATGAAGGCTAAGTTAAAATTAGCCAGGTAATATTACAGTTTGGTTTTAAAGGCATGTGGTTTTTTTTTTTTTTTTTTTAAATCTTTTAAACATTTGAGAATGTTGAGGCCAGTGAGGGACTCCCTGGAGGAATCCGTCCTCTCTGTCAGTGGTTTAATATACAGTGAAAGCTCTCCAACAAACTGATGCTGTCTTAGTTCTAGGATAAAACAGATTCTCACCCAACAAATTAAGGGACTGATCCTCATGACTTGGAAAAGGCAGCACCTAGATAGTGGTCTAAGAAGCACACCTGGACATCTACTGGTAGTGTAAAGGAAACGGCATTATTCTAGAAGGCAACACCATTGTACTTGGCAATAGTCTATCAGAAAATTTTCATTAGACATCTGGAGTGGGAGAATATTTCACTAAGAGCGTTTTTTCCTTCTGGTTTCTGTATCAGGAAAAAAGAACGACAGCCTGAGCCAGCAGATGAGTGGCAGTGTTTGCGATGCCTCTGGTTGTTCTGAAGAACACAGGTTCCGATAACAAGAGGGTTGATTTTTAATCCATACAACTGCTGTTTCTGTTTCCAGTATTTACATGACACCGCTTACTACACAGCAATTTCTGAGACATAATGTTTCAGTCATCTCCTATTCCGTTTGGTTAATTATTAACACACACCAAATGAACCCTTAGATTGCATTTGAGAGACTGGAGATAAAGACTACTGAAGAAAACAGAGTGCATGGAAACCAAAATCTCGAATCATCACTGCCCATTCCTGTTACCAGCTTCATCACAGAGTTGCATGCAGCCGAAGAACAGCCGCCCTGAAGCCACGGCGTTAGGACAGGGCTGGAGAGTCCTGCTGGTCCTCGGGGAGAGGAGCTTCCCCCTGCTCCTCACTCACCTCAGTGGCTGGCTCTTCATCCAAGGGCTCACCGAGCTCTTCACTGCCCCCTTCACTCTGCTCCTCACTGGGCTCTTCACTGGGCTGCACCGTCTGTTCCAGGCTATTCTCCAGAGGTGTGGGAGAATTACTGCTTATTCTACTTTCCTCTTCAGCCGTCATGGGTAAGGGCTGGGGGGCGGGCAGCAGAGGAGAATGAGGCTGGATGGTACTTTCCGTAGAAGAGGGGGGGACTTTGGTTAGAGCGGTATCCACTGCAGTCTCGTTCTGAGGCAAAGGTAACTTTTCCACAAGTTTCCACTGAATGATGCTCATGTCTTTTCCACCAGTTGAAATCAGATGACTGTCATTATGAGTAAAACTGACGTTGGTGACATGGCTGCTGTGGGCACTGTACTTGTGACTAGGAGCCTATATGAGACAAACAGGAAAATTAAACCCATTCTTTACATACCTGCTTCCGGCAAACACATGACTAGGTAAGGGAGATAATTCATCAAGTCTGAGGAGTAAACCTAGGTAGTCATTTCCTTTCAACACTTAATATAGGAGAAACAAATTAAGTGGACATCTATACTTTCAAACTACTTGTTTAAAATAGTAACTGGAAGTCTGTCTTCTGGATGTCAAGTGGCATGCTCGTCAGAGCTTAGTAACTTCTTTTGAGAGGGCTTGGGAGAATTTACTAGTTTGGTAGAATTATAGGTGATTTAGGAAATAGTTTCATTATTCCTATAAATGCTGACTGTAAAAATGTTTTTAATATGTTTGGGATAAACTTAAAATTGCCCCTAAAATAAAGTCAACTGGGCAGAAGAAATGGAGTCAGGTAGCCCTAGCTGTCTGCTGCTTTGCAGGCTCCCGAGGAAGCTGGAACAGACCAGCCTGAACGCTCACTGATGGCCCCATTCTGCATACTGCACTGTCACCAAGAGGAATTAAGAACCCTAAAAAGTTTTTCTTGCCACCGACACAAAGTTATCCTTAAACAAAGGAATGACAACACTAGTTTCTACTGAGTTTACCTTTGCTTTGGAGCATGGATACTGAAACAGATGGACTTTGCAAAAGTCATCAGCGACAGCGATCACCTTTCTGTTGTGGGATCGCACCAGGGCATTGATGTCTGTTCCATCAGATCCTTCTGGCCAGACACCTTTGCGGTGGAAACATGGGAAAAATTAGCCTCAAGTAAGCACGAGTTTAGACTCTGACACCTTTCACCTGAGTTCAAATTCAAAGCTGCCAACACTTCCCGTGCAAATTTCTTAGCTAATCAACATTGTTCTTTACGGAAACGATGGCATTTTATTCAAAATTTAACAGAGTTGAACCCAAGTAACCTCAATACAGGAAACTTAAAAGATTCAATAATTATTTTAGTTTCTCCTCAGCAATAAACTCTTTAGTTGGAAGTATACAGATTTGAAAAATAAAGCAAGAAATCAAAGCCACTAAGTTCCAAGTGAACTCTACGTTCCCTTTCAGACAGGCGCCTCCAAGAAAACCTTAGAGATCTTACAGAAATGCATAGGCCATCCACTAGTCTAGCATGATATTTCATGGAATTTTCCTGGAAACATTACTTCTAAGACATATCAAATGTTACAAGTCAAAACACTTTAATTGATTTCTCTTCAAATGAGTGGAGATAGTGTCTCGTTAAAGCAACCAAGAAGTTACAGCAACAGGCCACTGCTTCAGATTCATCCAGACTAATGAAATTCTTTATGGCTGAGTCAGGATTATTTTGCTTTTAATTTCTTCTTATGCTTCTCCATCTTTTTTTTTCCCCTAAAGATTTATTTATTTTACTTTGAAAGAGTTACACAGAAAGAGGAGAGGCAGAGAGAGGGAGAGAAGTCTTCCATTGAATGATTCATTCCCCAGTTGGCTGCAATGGCTGGAGCTGCGCTGTTCCAAAGCCAGGAGCTAGGAGCTTCTTCCAGGTCTCCCACTTAGGTGCAGGAGCCCAAGGACTTGGGCCATAGCAGAGAGCTGGATTAGAAGTGGAGCAGCCAGGTCTTGAACTGGTGCCCATATGGGATGCCTGCGCTTCAGGCCAGGGTGTTAACCTGCTGCACCACAGTGCTGGTCCCTGCTTCTCCATCTTGACAGCAGGTATCTAGGACAAGATCGCCTACTGTGGATTAGCTTTTACATGCACACAGCATACAGGAATGTTCATAGTTAGCTCTGCCCTCCAGCCTAATCCTAATTTTCAGAAACCAAAAACAGTAATATTTGGGGGTATTAGCCTTAGGAATTGGTGCCATATACACAGCCAGTATTTCAATCACTGATTGTATATTTTTATACAAGGCTTTATTATTTTAACTTTCCTATTTGATCTTCTAACTCCCTTAGGAGGATACCTAAAGATCAGGAAAGGCTGAGGAAATTAAATCTGTCAGAGGACAGATTTCTAAAATGTCCAAAACATCAGATGAAGAGCAATCTCCAAATTTTATCTTTGAATAATCGCTAATTAAAATGTCTGTCTATAAATGATGCTGGGACAACTGGGACATCATCGGCAAAAGAGTAAGACCTGGAGAAAGTGGACCCTCAGTCAGCACTGCTGCTGGGGAGGCTGGGGGTGCAGCTGCTTTAGAAGCAGTGCAGCAATCCTTCAGAAAGTCATGGAGTTCCCGTATGACCCAGCGATCCTGCTCAAGAGAAGTGAAAGAAAGTATATTTGCAAAATAACTTGGATGTGGGGGCCTGCAGCACTGGCATCCCATATGGATGCTGGTTCAAGTCCTGGCTTCCCTACTTCCAATCCAGCTTCTTGCTAATGTGCCTGAGAAAATTAATAGTGATAACACTAAAGAAAATAAATAGGGGCCGAGTTGTGGCAAAGCAGGCTAAGCTGCTACCTGTGATGCTGGCATTCTGTATCAGAGTGCCAGTTTGAATCCTGGCTGCTCTGCTCCCAATCCAGTTCTCTGAAGTTGGCCCAAGTATTTGGGCCCCTGCCACCCACATAGGAGATCCAAGTGAAGTTCTAGGCTCCTGGCTTCAGCCTAGGCCAGCCCTGGCCATTTGGGGCAGTAAACCAGTAGATGGAAGATGTCTTTCTGTCACCAAGCCTTTCACATAAATAAAAGCAAATCTTTTTTTTAAAAAAATCAGACTTTCATTTATAAAGTCACACAAATTAGGATTATGTATCAAAATCTCACAAAGCACCTCTTCATGTCAGGTGTCATGCATGCTCTTACCAAAGACTTGAAAGCCTAGCACACAGGTGTACGTCGTCCAATCAATGTCCTTACAATCTGATCGGTTCCTGATTAGTTTGCAGCCGCCTGGAATGTCCCCTTAAATTTGGAAACGGGAAGTATAATCATAGTACTGTGTAACAAATGTATTTGAAAGTACATCTTGACTCAAACTAACCACATTCACTTTGATTTATAATATATACACTGACAAACATTAAGGCACATATAAACATTTTTTCCACGTGTTTAACAGGAATTTTTTTTTCCTTTGAAGCCCTATGTCCATCTATTATGCTTAAAACCATTCAGAGCAGCATCAACCCCACTAATTCCTATTACATGTGCCTTCAGTTCTACACAATTCAATTGATTACTTTCTTGAAGACAGGAACTACATTTGAAATTACTGCTTAGCTCAGAAGCCTGTCCGTTCTCTCTGCAATTCAAGCTCCATGCAGCCTGTTCGTCAGCATGCCTGACAGACATCTGTGTGATCACTGATACTCACAGTATAATATCTCATAATCTCCAGAGTTAGACATTATATTCTTGTTGTCTGGGGACCAGTCAAGGTGTGTGATGTAGCTGGAATGTCCCTAGAGAATGAAAGGGCAATTATCAGAATTTGGGGTTTTTAATGATGAATAATTTAAGTTAGCCAATACTGTTTCCTGAGTACCCATTTGTCACAATTCCTAAAGGCTAGGGAGCACTACTACAACCTCCAGAGCTGAACAGGGCCCACAGAAGGTCCTCAGATCTTATTCCACTTTACTGGGAGCCACAGATGCAGCGTAAGGAGAAGCTAGAGTTCCTGCAGTCTCTGGAACTGAGGGGATCTCATCACCATGACAACATGGAAGCAGCTGGAACTGAGGGGAATCCTGGCTTCTTCCGAGAGACACCAGAAGCAGACATGTACTTACTACTTGTGCCAGAAAGCATCTCTTCTAAGAAAGAACCTCAAAAATGTTTGAGGAAACTGCAGTAGTTATCACACTTTTGGATCCTCTGCCCGTCACTGGGGTCTCTATTAAAGTGACTCCGTTTTTGAGAAATATTGGCCACACGTTGTGCAGAGAGTGCAGTTTTCCTGGACTGCTTCTTGAGCGTCCTTGGCATACCTCAGAAGCCGAGGAGCATGGCACCCACACAGGAGTGTTCTTATAATGGAGGGCTCCTAAAAACTACAAATAATGTTCTGGAGGAGAAGTCACCCAACACTGCCCTCCTTCAGAACAGCTGTACCCAATATAATCACCTTACTCTTCAAAACATTACTTAAACAGGAAAACAGTGATCTTTCTCTGTTTATGTTGTACTAACATTGTGGGTACTAAAATGAGTTATTAAATGCTGAATTTTTTTGGCTTCATATGAGCATTTGATGATTTCCAGTGAACTACTTGAGAGAAATTACACAAATCTAATAATTCACCAAAATCAACACTTCATCTCCTGAGGGTAATCCAAAAAGCTCAGGAAAAACACAATTCAGAGATAAAATGAATTTGGTCAAAAACAACAACAAAAACCATAGTCCCCTAGCCCCCCCACCCCACCCCAAATATACATTTCCATGAACTTCTTTGCATGTATCTTAGATGCATGGATTTCAAACCTTTTTTGCACTAAAATAAAATCTCGATTCCAGTATCTATGAAGTTTTTAAATTACTCTCGTACAGTATCACATATAAATCTCAGAGGGACCTCAAAGAGGAGGAAGCTTAGGAGGCACAGAAAGGTTATGCAACTTTTCTGAAATCACAAAGAATTGGTGGACCCAAGGTTCAAACTCAAGTCAGATGATCGTGGAGCAAATTAAACTCAGCATTTAAGCTTATCTTTTACTCATTTCTGGAACACTGAAGATGAGAACAAAATAATTTAAAAGTACTATTTTCAGAAAAAGTTTATAGGTAAATAAGGACCTTTTCTTCTTACATGCGAGCAACGCTGAGGTCAATAAGTACACTGTGTGGAAGCACTAAACCACTGGCACCAGCAGTCTTCAGATCTTTTTAGCTCATGTAAAATCCTACTTGGGAGGCCCAATTACATGAAACAAATCAGATCCATACTAGCCCAGATCAACCCTGCACCCAGGAAGGCTTTGCACAAAACAAGTTACAAAGATCTCTGAATCCAAAGCTGCTTTCTATACTTTTCCATAGCAGTGATTACAAAACGATGGTTTCTACAGTTAACAGGGGACACAGCCATGAATCTATGAACCCTACAGTTTATCATCTAACCACTTTTTCTAGTATTTACTAAACACCAAAAAAGATGGCAGATCATGAAATGCAGCAATTAGAAAAAAGGTCAGAGTTAAAATCTAAATTAGATGATGGAACTGAGAACCACAAATGCCACAGATTAGCTCAGGCAAGAATGGTGTGTGTGCTGGAGGGGACACTGCGTTCTGGCAAGTGCAGGGCAGACTGGTCCCAGAAGGGGTAATGAATGGCCACCATAGATCAAAGGGTACAAAGATGAATGCCTCCCACCCCTCTCCTCCCAGATCTCCCAGCCACCTGGAGTGGCAGTCTCATGAAGAGCCAACTATTTCCTGGGAGATCACTGGAGTTCCTTCAAAGCAATGGGTTAGGACCTGTTATGTGTAGTAAACAAACCTGCATCCTATGGCACAAGATAGCAAGTATGTAACATCTTCAGCACAAAGTACACTCTTTGCTCTTCTTAATTTAGCTGTCTGAGGCAGGCATGTGTAAGCACTATACTACATGAAGCAAATACTGAGCATTGCTCTGCCATCTGACTTTTTTTGTGCCTTTTGGTGGGTAGCTTAGGCTATCTGGAAATAAAAGGCAAACAGAGTACCCTTCCACCCATTTGTACTACTTCAAAATTAAGAAACTCCTTTAAGTGTCAGATTGTACTCTGAATTGTACAACTGTATTTGTACTATATTTTTGCTTTGTTTCTGAAATGATAAAGATTGTACAGCATTAAAATGAAATGCAAGGGTTAGAAATGAGAGGGAAAAGGAAAGTAACAGGGGATGTGAAAAAAGATTTAGCCTGAAGTGCTCTTGGCTAGGTTCTAGCATATGCTGAGGGGTTTGAAGGTTTGATCAGAGTCACATCAAAGTTTTAACTCAGTGTCTCACCTCTGGAGCCTAGTTTATTCATCTAGTTATATTGTAACTGGATTAATCAAGATTGGCTTGATCAGAGAGGTCAGAGCACAAAGCAGAGGACTGTAGTAGAGTTCCCCATTTTTCCTATTCAAAGGAGGAAGTAGACCATATAATGCTCTTTCCAGCCCTTTATATGCTAATAGTTTTAGGAAGCTAAATGTGACTATTATAGTCCTTTGGAGAGCAGAAAACATTTCAAAAGAACATTCTTTAGGATTACATAACAAATCTCTAGCTTTAAAGTTTATACAGTTTTTTTAAACACTGAATTTCAAGCAGGTAAGGATAAACTTCAGAAAGACTACAAAAGATACTGGGGTCAGTAAAAAATAGAAATAAATTTCAATAAATGGAAAAGCAAAGTTCTTTATGGAAACTACAGTGGATGTTCCCCAGGAACTTCTGAGAGTTAAATTTTGGAGTTAACAATTTAAAGCAGAAAGAGGTAAGAAGTCAGTCATAATGGCTTGAGGTCAGCGAGCAAATAAAGGATCAGAGGCAAATGTGGGAGTGCCCACCAGTGTCCAGGATAGAGGGATCAGAAGCAAGATTAGTGCTGGCAACAGCTATCACTACATGGTGGACACATGCACTGGACATGCTCACCTGATTATACTCAGGTCTCCTTTTCTCTAAAGGGAGGTGGAATGCACTGGCTACAGGATGCTCAGGTCCTGTCCCCTGAGATTCCTATATCTTACTTTCAAGAAATAAATTAGCGATCTGATTATCAGTTGATTTACTGAGGTTTGCTTAGAGAGAGAAAACTTGGTTGGCCAGAGGAAACCAGGATTTAGTGTTGTTACCAGTTAAGTTCTTACTTTAAATTGATACTCTATTTTTAATCTTTGAAAATTAAAAAAAATTTTTTTTATTTATTTATTTGGAAGGCATAATTAGAGAGAATCTTTCCATCTGCTGGTTCACTCTTCAAATGGCTACAGCAGCCAAGGCTGGGCCAGACAGAAGCCCGGAGGGAAGCGCTTTATCTGGGTCTCTCATGTGGTTGGCAGGGGCCTAAGTCCTTGGGCCATCTTCCACTGCTTTCCCAGGTGTATTAGCAGGGAGCTGGATCAGAAGTGGAGCAGCCAGGACTCAAACCAGCACCCATATGGGAGGCAGGCAGCAGCTTAACCCATTATTAACCCACTGACCCCTAAATTGGTATTTTATAAACCAGCTTTGGAGAACTTAGTTGACATAAGTCCGTGTATCTAAGATGGATCATCTTGTTTCTTAGCTTATGAGGTTGAAGGTAAGGCCCTAGCCTGTAATGATGTAATTTATTAGAGAACCGTGCCTCACCTGCTGCTCTGCAACCTTGGGCACCCACCGGCTTCTCAACTGACATGTCTTCAGAAGGTGGTACCATGATGAGGGACGGACTCCAAACATTTGTAACTGGTTATAATTCACTAGAGGGATATTTCATAAGGTTCTAAACCCAGCATGCTTCTTTGGTTACAATGATCACTTAAATGTTGACTAGTAATAGGAAAATTATTGGAAATAACATTTATATTTGGAATTTTGAGAGCAGTTCTAGTTGCATGTTTCAGAAAGACCTAACCTTTATTATAATCTACAATTTTAAGATAATAGAATTAAGACTCAGAGAAGTTAATTAACTTGCCTAAAAGTTGCAAACTAGTAAGCAGCAGAGCCAACATTAGCCCAGTTTTGTATGTCCTATATAATAGCAGACAATAGATAAAAGCAGTTAAAAGGAGACTATAAGACCAGTTGGTGGAAGCAGACAGCAAGGAGAAGTGACAGCTGGAAGCAAAGCACAAAACAAGATAATTAGAAAAGCAGAGTAGTTGAGCCTTTCATTATAGCCTCAAACAGCACTATAAACTTTAATAGTTCCTAAGGGTATCTTGAAATATTACTTTTGTACACTCCAAGGATAAAAGCTGCCTAATTAGAATAGGACAAGCCTCATGCAATTTCTCAACACTCCCAAGGTCATTCTGATTATCCATTGTCACCCTTTGCTCTATTTCTTTTCTGGACCAGTTAAATGTATCACAACAGCACAGTACAATACACATACTGAAAAATCTGAGATGTTACCCTACATTGGAAAGTTTGCTCTACTAAGACTTAAGACAACTGTGCTCAAGTCTTGGATCTGCTACTATGTCAAGATGCAACCAATGATAAGTTATTAATCTTCTCTGAAAACAATCTCTTCATCTGTAAAATGAGGGTTCAGTTAATTTAAGTGCTACAGTGCTATCTGCAAAATTTTATGATTCCACAGATTAACTGATATACTCTATTTATCGAGATGTGGACTTCTAAAAATTATTTAGTTGAGAGATAGAGAGCTCAGCTTATCTGCTGGCTCACTCTTCAAATGTCCATAATGGCTGGGACCAGCCAGAGCCAAAGCGGAGAGCCAGGAACTTAATCCAGGTGTCTTTTGTAGTAACAGGGATCCAGCTTTTGAGCCATTATTCTGAGTCCCAGAGTCTGTCCGGGTAGGAAGTTTGAGCCAAGAATCCAACGCAGGCACACCAGTGAGGTAGATGGGTGCCTTAACCACTAGACTGAAAGCCCAACCTTAAACATGGACTGTTTTAAAAGGTCAAGGTTGAAAAATTAGAAAAATTTGGAGCCTATTAGGGTAAACTTGAATAATCAAAATTCCTTATATTGGATCATTTCATTTTTGGGGGGGGTAGATGTGACATTTCATTTGATTTGCACACTATTTCATATAAAAATATTAAGTTGATAAAATTTTTTAAAAAGATTTATTTATTTAAAAGGCAGAGCAATAAGGGAGCAGGGGTGGGGGAATACAGAAATATCTTACATCTACTGGTTCACTCCCCCAAATGGCTGTAACAGCCAGGTCTGGGTCAGGCCAAAGCCAGGAACCAGGAATTCCTTCCTAGACCCTACATGGGTGGCAGAGGCCAAGTTCTTGGTCTGTTATCTGCTACCTCTCCAGGCACATTAGCAGGAAGCAGGATCAGATGTGGAACAGCAAGTACTTGTATCAGTGCTCTGACAGGGCATAGCAAGCAGTGGTTTTATCCACTAAGCCACAATGCTGGCCCCTAAGTTGATCACTTGATTAAAAGGTGGATTTGAACAAAATAATGGATAAGGACTCATAATTATTGTCAAGTCAAATAACATTCTGGGTAAATTCTACAATTTATTTGTGTTTCTTGAGCTTATAAATGGACTGGTTTTAGCATGTAGTACAAGTATATAAAAAACAGATAAACAAGTCTTTCTTCCTCAAATAATAAATGGCCTGGTTTTGCTTCTACATATTGGGCATCCCTCATCTGGAATGCTCCAAATTCAAAACTTTTTGAGCACTGGCATAACACCCAAAGTGGGAAATTCTGCACTTGACCTCAAGTGCCAAGTCACACCCAAAATATATAAGCAGTAAAAATTACCTTACAGCCTCATACACATGAATTTCATGTTTAGTCTTAGATTTTTTTCCTCCCAAAGCTATCTCATTATATATATGTAAATATTCTAAAATCTGAAAAACAAATCCAAAATCTGAAACACTTCTGGTTCCAAGTATTTCAGATAACGGATACTCAGCCTGTACAGAGTAAGCAAAATAAGTATCAGACCCATATTGAAGTTTACTTTCATTATAAGATGTATGTGTGTATATATGTATATGTACATATATACATACATATGTGTGTATGTGTGTGTGTATATATATATATATTTAGTTTTATTTATTTGAAAGACAGAGTTACAAAGAGAGAGAGAGCCAGAGAGAGAGAGAAAGGTCTTCCATTCCACTGGTTCACTCCCCAAATGACCACAATGGCCAGAGCTGAGCTGATCCGAAGCCAGGAGTCAGGAGCTTCTTCCAGGTCTCCTACATGGGTGCAGGGGCCCAAGCACTTGGGCCATCTTCTACTGCTTTCCCAGGCCATAGCAGAGAGCTGGATTGGAAGAAGAGCAGCTGGGACTCGAACCCACACCCATATGGGATGCCAGCTCTGCAGGCTGGGGCTTTAACCCACTGCACCACAGCGCCGGCCCCTATAAGATGTATATTTTAAAAAACCAAATTATTTTATTTATTTATCCTAAAATAACCACTTTATCATAAAGATGGCTAAAGGATCTGTGCCATTAATTCATGATTTGATAATCCTAAATTAATTTCCTAAGTTTCATAACAAACTACCTCACTTTTTATAAAAATCGTAGTTAACACTGAATACTCAATGCCAGGCTCTATCCTGAACACTTCATACACATGAACTTCTGACGTTAGCCTGTAGTGGTGCACAGTCTTATCCACAGACTGTGTTCTCAACATGATGCTGTATATTGCCTACCTTCTCATTCTTCTCTTGCTACACTGCGTACCTTTCTCATCCTACTTCTTGGGGACCAAGGAACGTATCCTGCACACACTCTCAGTGCCTAGACCATTTCTTTAGTTAGCAAAGGACCTGCCACATAGTCAATACGCAGTACACCTACAGAATTTAATACAATCTCCACCCTGTTATGACACAATAATCAAGTTAGGAGAGGGAAACAAATGACAGGAAAATGCTGTTGTCTACTGTCTTAAATACAGACATCTCCAAATTATTTTATTTTAGTGGCAGAGAGGACACTGCAGAGTGTGGGGGATGGACAGAAACATGGGATATTGAGATTAAAAATGAAATATCTTTTCTGACTTCATCTGTAAAATGTTATTCTAAGAGCTTCTTATAAATATAGTTTTAGGAAATGAACTTAAAAGTCGTCAGAGAGAGACAGATATTAAACTCCCATCAAAAGGAAACATCTTGAGGGTGGGTGTTTTGCACCATGGTTAAGAAGCTCTTTGGAATGCTTGTGTCCCATTTCAGAGTGCCTAGATCCAAGTCCTGGCTCTACTACAATTACAGCTTCCTGCTAATTTGTATCCTAGGAGACAGCAGGTAATCACTCAAGTAGCTGGGTTCCTACCACTCATGTGGGAGATATTAACTGAGTTCCTGACTCCTGGCCTCAGTCTGGCCCGGTCTTGGCTGTTGTGGGGATTTTGGACATCAATCAGTGAATAAAAGATCTCTACTCTTTCAAATAAAATGAAAATAAATAAGTATTTTTAAAGGAAGACTTATCTTGGCCAGTGCCGTGGCTCACTAGGCTAATCCTCCGCCTGCTGCGCCGGTACCCAGGGTTCTAGTCCCGGCTGGGGTGCCGGTTCTGTCCCGGTTGCTCCTCTTCCAGTCCAACTCTCTGCTGTGGCCTGGGAGTGCAGTGGAGGACAGCCCAAGTGCTTGGGTCCTGCACCCGCATGGGAGACCAGAAGGAAGCACCTGGCTCCTGGCTTTGGATTGGCGCAGTGCGCCGGCTGTAGTGGCCACTTGGGGGGTGAACCAACGGAAGGAAGACCTTTCTCTCTGTCTCTCTCTCTCACTGTCTAACTCTGCCTGTCAAAAAAAAAAAAAAAAAAAAAAAAGAGCGAGAGAGACTTATCTCTAGAGTGCACAGGGAACTACAATGTTCTGTTCTCAAATAATCTGCTCTTTTCAAAAACAGGGATTAGGGGCTGGTGCTGTGGCATAGCGGGTAAAGCTGCTGCCTACAGTGCTGGCATCCCATATGGGTGCTAGTTCGAGTCCCAGATGCTCCACTTCTGATCCAGCTCTGTGATGGGCTGGGAAAGCAGTAGAAGATGGCTCAAGTCCTTGGGTCCCTGCACCTGTGTGGGAGACCCAGAAGACGTTCCTGTCTCCTGGCTTTTTATCGGCCCAGCTCTGGCTGTTGCAGCCATTTGGGGAGTAAACCAGTGGATGGAAGACCTCTCTCTCTCTCTGCCTCTCTGTAAACTCTATCTTTCAAATAAATAAATAAATCTTAAAAACAAAACAGAGATTAAAGTTTGAAGTACCCAACAACAGAAAACAACAGATACAACAACATAAACATTTAGTTCTCTTTCAATCCAAGTAAAATTTCCCTATAATTTTGAACTTAATTTTATTTTACTATTACTTACAGTGCACTTTCCATATCTGCTATATTTTCTTCCATTTTCTGAGACTACATAGAGGTAAATAAAGTTGTCATGAGATCCTACAGCCAGGAAGGTGCCATCTGGAATTAAACAGGAAAAAGTGCTGATTAAAGAAATGGCACTGACAGACTTGTTTACTGTTACTTCACTGAACCTATACTGAACACTATTTAACAGATGTTATTAAATATCACCAATTTAAGGGTCATTCTGCAGTATCACTAAGCACATTTGAAAGACAAATGGTCTTCCCTAGCCTGATCCCTTCTTGGAGATGCTCACATCCCTTGGACTCTACACTCACTTCCTTCTAGTGAGTGGAAGTACAGACAAATTCTTAGAGCTGGCTGAGGAGATCTGCTTCGGTTAGCTAGCACCTGTGATCCCCCAGTACAGGGTAGGTTCTCTTGAAAAGGAACCATCTTCTTTTCTTTCATGGTCTCCTCCATTTTACCTACCATTGTACTTAAGCACGTAGCAAATTTCAAGAGTCCATTTTATCTTCGGATTTTACTGTTTCTGTTAGCAGTGATCACTGGCTACTACAGAAAAACTTTCAGCTTCAAGGTGATTCTTGGTTTATAGCTTGAAGCATATATTTTTTCCTTCCTTGTTCAATTCACAGGAAATTTTCTGTGCTTCTTTTGAAACAACTGAGAATCAAAAAGCTCCTTTGGACTCCATGGTGATGGAACAATTTTGGGATGTATTTTCAAATATAAAACATGTTAGTCTAACTCCAGAGAGAGGAACAGTGTGAACCAAAGCCCCATTAATAACAGGAGAATGTAACTGGAATATTATTATGGAAACATAATTAACATTTTGAATCAAGTACAAAGAATTATTTCATGGCTAAACAAATCTGTCAAACTCTTATGATAAATTGCTGAGTATTTTATCTAATTAACAAGTATATCATTACTACATAACCAGTAACACTGTAACTAGATTCTAAAGAACTTGGAGGGCCTGTAATACTTAATTTGAATATTACTAGAATTTTTTTAAACTCATATACATAAGTTACTAAGAAGAGGTAACATTCAGCCCAACAAATACTCAAAATACTAAGTCTGTGTAGCACAATACTGCTTTCAATTGCAAATGAAGTTGCAATAGTTTATTCTAAATTTATGTCATGATTTAGAATGTTGTTTAACTTTATGCAGATCTTTGACAGTTTCCAGTAGCAGGATTAATCTGATATTGGGGAAAACATATTCAATTCTTAACAACTCTAGAGAGCAGAGAGAATAAGGTGTCAGCTTTATTGAAGCAAAGTCAGCAATTTTGTGAGGTGCTGTGAATGCAAAAGAGGGGTGGGGTAAATCTGCCTACCTACTGAGTATCGCATCACAGAGAGCTGCTCATTTCCATCTGTGTGGATAGAAACTAGATCTCTGGTTTCTGCATCCAGAACAAACCACCTGTTAAGTAAACACAAAAATTTTCTTCAGATAAGAGTATTTGTAGAAAAAATGGTTGCTGACCATTTTTTTTTCTTTTTATGAAATTTCATTAATAGCCCTTAAATGACATGTTTACCTCTTCTAGTAAAGGAGGAATTTGGTTTGCAAAATGTTGCTAGATATAATATAAACAAGCTTCTAAGGGCCTAGGCTGTTCTCATTCCTAGTTAGGTATTTACTGAATGCCAACTGTGCCCCTTTGTTTAAATTTTAGAAAATAAGATGTCAGGGTCACTGTTCTTAAAGATTACTAGGTTACAGTTGGGGAAAAGGAAATGAGCCAATTCAAAGAGAAAAATGAATGCTAGCAGACATAGGAAAACCTTTAGGAATGATGTAGATACAGTTTGAAGTGGACATTGAGGGAAAGTACAGGCAATTCAGGCAGGAGGAATAATAGCTATGTAGCTAGGGAGGTGGGAAGGACAACAGAGAGAATGGAGGAGGATGAGAAAAGCAGTGAGCCACTCATTTGGTGTGATATCAAAGGGACCAGCAGGGGGCACTCTGCTTCCTCAATATCTTCAACACTGGCATATGGAAGCTCTAAAATTGACAGTTTTTCTTTCTTTACATTTTTTGTTTCATATATTCTCTGAAAGGCAGAGAGACAGAGATGGAGCTCTCCCTTCCAATGGTTCACTTTCCGAGTGCTTTCAACAGCTGGGGTCAGGCCAGGCCCAGGCCAGGAGCCAGGAAGGAACTCAATCTAAATCTTCCAACTTGAGTTACCATTATTGCATCCCAGGGTGTGCATTAGCAGGAAGCTAGAATCAAAAGTGATGCTGGGATTCAAATTCAAGCACTCCAACAAGGGATGCAGGTATCCCAAGCAGTGCCTTAAGGGCTATACTAAATTTGTGTCCGTCTCATAACAATTTTTCCTCGTTCACATTTATAGGGTAAGTAAAAGACAATGACATAAATCTAACTATGTAATGAATGATTATTGCTGGACCTTTTTCTAAGAGCACTTGAAAGAAGGAATAGGTGTTTTGGAAGAGCAGATATAAATCAAAGATGGGCAATATGGATAGACAAAGTTGGGTAAGTGAGAAGAAGGTAGGTAATAACATGCATAGTGGATTGGAAGAGTTTAGAGCTGAGCACTGCCTGAATCAGAGTACCCCACTAACTTTTTTTTTTTGACAGGCAGAGTTAGACAGTGGGAGAGACAGAGAAAGGTCTTCCTTTTTCTGTTGGTCACCCTCCAAGTGGCTGCTATGGCCGGTGCGCTGCGCCGATCCGAAGCCAAGAGCCAGGTGCTTCCTCCCGGTCTCCCATGCGGGTGCACGGCGCAAGCACTTGGGCCCATCCTTCACTGCACTCCCGGGCCACAGTAGAGAGCTGGACTGGAAGAGGAGCAACCGGGATAGAACCCGGCGCCCCAACCGGGACTAGAACCTCGGGTGCCAGCGCCACAGGCGGAGGGTTAGCCTAGTGAGCCACAGAGCCGGCCCCCACTAACATTTGTAAAGTGCATAAATAAGTAAATTTAAAATAATTTTTGAACAGGACAAAAGCCAAGTTTTGGCAAGAGGTACATAATATTCAACAGTACAGTATGCAGGAAGATAGTCAAGGGGGAAACAGCAGGATGAAACTAGGAAATAAAATCATGCCTCATCTCATAGTGCATAGGATAACAAGTATGCAGTTTTATTTTTAATTATTCAGATAGGAGAAATAAATGTACAGAGAAAAAGGCCTGAAAGAATTAAATAAAAAACTTAATGATGTTGCTTAACATGCCTTAGTATGTTCAAGGCAGAAGATGAGACTTTAAGACCCCAACTCTACTTGTTAATGAAATTTGTCTGTAAAAAACCACATTGACTAATTAATTTCAGTAATTTCTAAGCTATGAGCTAAAAATTTCTAGGTAGCTAACAATTCTAGGCAGCTAACAAATTCTGTTATTTACTCAGGTAAGAAATTACATGTGAAATATCCAAGTTTAAAGGCCAATCAGGGGGCCAGTGCTGTGGCATAGTGGGTAAAGCTGCTGCCTACAGTGCTGGCATTCCATATGGGCGCCAGTTCAAGTCCTGGCTGCTCCACTTCTGATCCAGCTCTCTGCTGTGGCCTGACAAAGCAGTAGAAGACAGCCCAAGTCCTTGGGCCCCTGCACCAGCTTAGGAGACCCGGAGAAGCTCCTGGCTCCCAGCCTTGGATCAGTGCCGCTCCAGCAGTTGTGGATGTAGGACCTCTCTCTCTCTCTCTCTCTGCCTCTCCTTCTCTCTATATATAACTCTTTCAAATAAATAAATAAATCTTAAAAAAAAAAAAGGCTAATCAGCAGGACACTGGTGCTCTGAAGCCACATGCTACATGTACATTTATCACCTCAATTACAATAGGTGTCTAAAAACCTGCTTCCTTGCAATTGGACAGTACAACAAAGTATAGGTTTTTGGGGCCGATGCCGTAGAGCAGTAGGTTAAGGCCCCAGCCTGCAGTGCCGGCATCCCATATACCCTGGTTCTAGTCCTGGCTGCTCCTCTTCCAATCCAGCTCTCTGCTGTGGCCTGGGAAGGCAGTAGAAGATGGCCCAACTCCTTGGGCCCTTGCACCCATGTGGGAGACCCGGATGAAACTCCTGGCTCCTGGCTTTGGATCAGCTCAGCTTTGGCCGCTGTGGTCATTTGGAGAGTGAACCAGTGGAATGGAAGACCTCTCTCTCTCTCTGGCTCTACCCCGCTCAGTAGCTCTGTCCTCCAGATAAATAGAATAATTCTTTAAAAACAAAAACAAAACAAAACAAAAACAAAAAACAAAGTATAGGTTTTAGGGCCAGTGCTGTGGCACAGTGGGTTAGAGCACTGGCCTGCAGTGCCAGTGTCCCATATGGGTGCTGGTTTGCATCCCGACTGCTCTACTTTCCATCCAGCTCTCTGCTGTGGCCTGGGAAAGCAGTGGTAGATGGCCCAAGTCCTTGGGCCTCTGCGCCTGCATGGGAGACCCAGAAGAGGCTCCTGGCTTTGGATCAGTTTAGCTCTGGCCGTTGTGGTCATTTGGAGAGTGAACCGGAGAATGGAGACCCCTCTCTCTCTCTGGCTCTACCTCTTGCTGTAACTCTTTCAAGTAAATAAAATCTTTTTTTTTTTTTAAGTACAGGTTTCTTCTGAGAATATAATTTATTAATCAATGTTTATGATTACACTATGAAACTCCTCTGGGCCAAGAAATGCCAGAGCTAATGCCAACTGAACGGCCTTTTCAGAGAAAGGAACAAAGTGACATTCCATCTTAGATCAAACACACTTTTTTTTTTTTTTTTTTGACAGGAAGAGTGGACAGCGAGAGAGAGAGAGACAGAAAGGTCTTCCTTTGCCGTTGGTTCACCCTCCAATGGCCACCACGGCCGGCGCGCTGCGGCCGGCGCACCGTGCTGGTCCGATGGCAGGAGCCAGGTGCTTATCCTGGTCTCCCATGGGGTGCAGGGCCCAAGCACTTGGGCCATCCTCCACTGCACTCCCGGGCCACAGCAGAGAGCTGGCCTGGAAGAGGGGCAACCGGGACAGAATCCGGCGCCCCCACCGGGACTAGAACCCGGTGTGCCGGCGCCGCAAGGTGGAGGGTTAGCCTAGTGAGCCGCGGCGCTGGCCAGATCAAACACACTTCTAAGAACAGGAGATACAGAGCTGCTCCATATCAGGTTCCACATTTTTAATGAGCTTTTGTAAACTTTAATAAACCCCTCTTAATGCACTTAAAATAAATTTATCCATTTTTATTTTGGACAAGATCTAAGTAGGTTTAATTTTCCTAGGAAAACAGCATGCTGTCTCATCTTTCTGGAAATTCCCTTAGAAAGCAAAAAAAGTATTGATTGGTATAACATATGTAGGAACCTAAAACCCTTAGTCATTTACTGGTTATAAACAGTAGTTATCAAAAGAGGAAAAAAACCTTGCCTGCTTTTTTGTTTCTGGAATTACATGACCAGAAATTACTTCTAGGGGCTGGTGTTGTGGCACAGTGGGTTAAGTAGCAGCCTGTGATGTTAGCATCCTTTTTGGAGGTGCTGGTTCAAGTCACAGCTGCTCTGTTTCTGATCCAACTCCCAGCTAATGCTCCTGGGAAAGCAGCAGCAGATGGCCCAAGCACTTGGATGGGGTTCCAGGCTTTTGGTATTGGCTTGGCCCAACCTCAGCTGTGGCCATTTAGGGAGTGAACCAGTAAATGGAAGATATCTCTGTCTCGCTCTTTTGTTACTCCGCCTTTTAGTTAAATCATTTTTTTTTAAAAGGATTTCATTAAAAATGAAATTACTTTTGGCAAATATTTTTAGTAATTTAATAGGTGTTATTAAAAATGTACAACTTCCATATGTATTTCCAGCAAGAATTTTAGAGGTTCCTTTTTTTTTCAAGACTTATTTATTTGGAAGGTAGAGTTACAGAGAGGGGGAAGAGGCAGGCAGAGAAAGAGATGGAGAACGAAAGAGAGAGAGATATCTTCCATCCACTGGTTCACTCCTCAAATGGCCAGGCCAAACCAGGAGCCTGGAGCTTTATCCAGGTCTCCCATATGGATACCGGGGCCCATGTACTTGGGCCATCTTTTGCTGCTTTCCGAAGCACATTAGCAGGAAGCTAGATTGGAAGTGGAGCAGCTGAGACTCAAACAGGCACCCATGTGGGATGCTGGTACTACTGGTGGCAGCTTAACCCTGTATGTCACAACGCTGGCCCCTGGAACTCCTATCCTCCCTGTTGCACGAATTGCACTTTCTATGAATTTTACTTTCAGAAAAGAGTTTTGAGCTCCAGACCTCTGTCCCTAACAAGTCCTTTAGGAAAAGAGGATCTTATAAAAACAAGTAAAGAAACATATAAGTTCTTATTGAGTTTAGTTTATTTTAGTCCAGAGTATTCAAGTTAGAACTAAGCTTTTGCTTTACGACAAACTGGAATCATTATGGAGCTCTGTGGCCTTGAGGGTAAAGCTACTGC